GCACGGGTACTCTCGGGGCATTCTGGGCACTCTCGGGCGCTCTCGGGCGCTCTCGGGCACTCTCGGGAGCCTGTCGCGCTTGAGACGGACGAGAAGGCAGGAAGAGACTGCGGTGAGACGGAAGTGAGACGGAGTGATGGATCTATTGAGACACCGCTGAGACGGCAGGAAGGAGAGACGGAAGTGAGACGGAGTGATGGATCTATTGAGACACCGCTGAGACGCTGAGAGTGAGACAAGGACGAATTCACGTGAGACTGAGACGAATCAACGTGACGCCCGCTTGAATTTTCGCATGGCACCAGCGGTGCTTCTACTCGCTCCCATGCTGAGCGCGCACTCGCGCCCAGCGGCCACAGCTGTCACGCGGCGTGCAGTGCTCGCAACTTCTGCTGCGGTGTCGCCGCTGCTGGCGTGGCATCTATCCGCGAGCGCCGCGGACACCGCCTCTGTCGCGTCGACACTGAGGGCTGCCGGCCGGGAAAGCAAGATCGATGAGCGCAAGGAGCGGGAGTTGCTTGATGAGATGCGCAAGATCAAACGGGCGGAGGAGATGGAGGCGGCGGAGCTCCGACGGCTTAGCGCGGCGCAAGAGAACCGGCTGGCGCTGGCGACAAACGTCGAGTCGCCAGAGAGACTTGCGGAGGAGATGTCGGAGGACAGAAAGGCCCTCGAGGCGGACGAGAGGGAGATCGCGTTCATCAGAGAGGAGTACAAGGAGGGCATGGCCAAACTGCGCAAGGAACGGTCGGAAGTGCTTCGGAGAAGGCCTACCTCAGCTATCGATCGGTTGAGGTTGAAGCAAGATTGAGCGATGTGCCAGTACCAGCAGAGATGCCTCCGTTCCGGCTCCGTGGCCAGCATGGGCACGGCCAATGTTACTCCGTGCTCGCCATTCCCTCGCCGTATGCGACTCCACTCGACTATGGCCTGAGCCGGTTCTCAGGTTCCTTCACACGTGACACGACTAGATAGTAGATAAAGGTAAGGTAAGCGTAAGGTAAGGTAAATTTCTCCACACACACAAAGTGGTGGGGCAAGGGGGGGCGACCCTCGGAGGGGTCGCAGCTGCCTCTGCGCGTCCTGTGGATGTACCTTTGTCGCGCGCCGGAGATGACTCGACGCCGCTGAGATCGGAGATCAAGCTCTGACAGGTCGCACGTCGCTCCTTTGACGCCGACGTGATTTACCCGTGCAGATCACATCAGGACACGGTCTCGACGCGCTCGGTACGACGCCTGCGACCCGTCTCGGGTCAGGTGGCACGACGCTCATCGCGCCTGCCAGCGCTGCCGTGCAGGCTGCCACGACGAGGTCGAGCACGCTTCTATACGCTCGCCGAGCCTTCCTTTCCATCCCATTAGGCAGCCTGGGAACGGTGGCGATCAGAGGCAAAGCCTACGAGGGGTGGTGGAACCACATGTCACGGCTACTGCCGGCTCGACCCCACGATAGCCTCCGAAGGCTGACTTTGAGGCACCATCATCGGACGATGTCGACGAGTTGGGTCGCTATCGCGGTAGCCAGACTGAGCCCTGGCCTCGACACCTCGACACCAAACCTCGACACCGACTCGACACCTCGACAACCCATGCCAACTCGACAAACTCGACACCCCTCGACACCCCTCGACACCCCTCGACACCATCTAGGCTGAAACCATGCTCGTCCGTGTCAAGGTGCCAAACTCGACACCTCGACACCCCTCGACACCCCTCGACACCCCTCGACACCGCTCGACACCGCTCGACACCGCTCGACACCGCTGATGATCCTAACACAGCAGAGACGTAGACCCATTGGAGTCACAGAGTTAGAAATCAGGGTTGCAGCAGCAATCAAACTTGGCTGGCAGTACTTTCATCCCTGAGCAGCCTCTCAAGTTCTAGCTCAAGTTGCAGCTCAGTTGCACCCCTGTTGATGCAGCAAACATGGCAGTACTCAGGTAGCCCTAAGGTGCTGCACAGCACCTTGTACAGTGGCAATGAATCCTCACACCAGTGAGCTTGTGCCATGAGTGCAGACCTGTGGTCCATTGCGCTTTGTGCACTGGCGACGCTGCAACGGCGACGCTGCAGCGGCGGCGACGCTGCTGCGATGGGGTACTGTAGCCCTTAGCTGCTGGACAGCACCTTGTGCAGTGGCAATGTCCACTGACTCATGGCACCAGCCTTGTGCCATGAGCGCTGTGGTCAGTTGCGCTTTGTGCGCCGGTGACGCTGCAGCAGCGACGCTGCTGCAGCAGCGACGCTGCTGCGGTGCTGCGCCTGCACAGCACCTTGGTGCACAGTGGCAATGACTCCCGGCACTTGATGTCCTCAAATGTCCACAGAGAGTATACTGGTTGTGCTCAGGTTGTGCTACATCAACAGGGTGCAACTGAGGCTGCAACTAAGGGATGAAACAGCTTTGCAACTGCAGAACTGCTGCCCAACTTTTGTTGTATGTTGATGGGCTGCAACTGCATCCACCTGCCACCTTGGACACCTCGATACCTCAGACGCCTCTTGACAACACTCGACACCCGCTCGACACCCGCTCGACACCCGCTCGACACCCTCGACACCCTCGACACCCTCGACACCCCTCGACACCCCTCGACACTCCTCGACACGGACAAGCATGGTTTCAGCCTCGACAGGCCTCGACAGGCCTCGACAGGCCTCGACAGGCCTCGACACCTCTATCCCTCGACAGCAGCTCGACACCCTCGACACCGGGCCTCGACACCTCGACACCAGGGCTCAGTAGCCAGATGACCTCTCATACTAGGATCATCGGCCATTGCCGCAGGGAGCGCGGGGGAGGGCGCTGGAAGCAACACGGAGCTCCGTTGGAGACGTTTTCAAGATTAGCGTGTCAGAGTGACAAATGGCACAGGCCTTGGTGACCCACCGCGGTGGCAGCGAGCCAGGCGGCAAGCGAGACCTGCCGCATGACGGGTAGACCTCGAAAAAGATTTTTTCAATCAAATATAAGAAAAGACCTGACAGACCGAACCTAATCTTGGTGTCCGGCATGTACATAAATAAGCAAACCCCGTTCCCGCGCCACGGGTTCGTCTCGTCCTCTGCCTGTCGTGTGTTTGGCGCAGGGCGGCGCAGGGGCCGGGCCTGCTGGCCGTGGCGCAGCGTGAAAGGAGAGGTACAGCATATTACAGGCCCGTCTCAGGCGAGGTGACTGCCGGCGGGGCAGCAAGCAGCTACGGGGTGCGCGGGTCCTCCAGGCCGACCTGCTTCTGCAGCCGCGCCATGCGGTCGAGCACCGGCTCCACCTCGCGCACGAACGCCTTCAGCTCCGCCGCCAGAGTCTCGTCCGAGCACTGCCCGTTCTCGCAGCCGAGGTGCGTATGCCGGCGCACCTCCTCCCAGTCGGGGGTGCTCTGCCGCAGCCCGGCGGCAAAGGCGGCGCGGGAGAAGCGGTCGAGGTACCGGGCGAGCGAGCGCTCAAACCCGCTCCGCGTCGCATCGGGCAGCGACGTCTTGCCCCGCAGGTGCTCCTTGAAGATCTCGACCCAAAACGAGACCGACAGCCGCGACCAGAGCAGCGCCTCCGCCCCCGTAGACCGCGCTGGCCCCCCGTTCGGGTGCCGCGAGCCGCGACGCAGCTCGTCCCGCAGCAGCACCTGCATCGATACTACCCGGCCGCCTGCGGCCTTCTCGACTCGCTTCAGGTTCTTCCGCGCGTCAACGACGCCTCTCCTGGTAAAGTCGCCGAACCGCTCGACCGCGTGAGAGAACTCCTCCCCGGCAGACACAAATCTGCGGACATCGATGTCACCGTTCACCTTGACGCTCGACGAGAAGCGCCGTGCGAATTTCCTCAGCTCAACCTTTGGCCCAGTGAGAGCTACCTCGTCCGTCGACCGGAGACCAAGCATTGTGGCCACGAGCATGGTGGCGACGGAGCTCACGAGCCGGAGGCCGAGCATGGCCGATGCGAGGGACGGCGACCAGACGTTCCGATCAGCCGTCAAGTCCCGGAAGTTACATAAGAAAACGAGCGGTGCACATGCACATTCATTCCAGTTGTCAGATGTCACGATCCATCCGAAGGGGAACCCAGCGCCGGCATCATCCGTAGAGGCACGAGTGTTCGAAGAGAGAGTGGACCTGAGCAACAACATGACCTGTAGGCAAATGATCGGAGTGGGAGTCAGAAATGTTGTCCTTGCGCGAGGGGAGCTCGATAGACTCGAGGGGCCAGGATACGCCGCGAGGAGGACGGAGTTGCGCCGACAGGCGAAAGAAGCCGCGAGAACAAGGGACCGGCAGGTGGCGGCGTCGCAGGACGAGGCAGAAGAGAACAACGCGTCAGAGGAGGAAGTGACAAGGGAGAGAACGACGAGGGTGGGACGACCGCGAGGTGGCATGAAGGTTGCAGCGAGAATCGGCGAGAGACTGCGAAGAGAGATAGGAAGAGGCAGACTCCCTAGGGTGGGCGACGGATAGCGCACCACACACCTCTCCTTAAAATCCCTGTGTGGTGGCGGCGTGCCGTCCTCCCCATCCCTCCCTTGGGTTGTCTGTTTTCTTTCTTTCTTTCTTTGTGTGTGAGAAGCGGCGAGAGACTGCGAAAAGAGATACGAAGAGGCAGACTCCCCAGCCAGGGTGGGCGACGGCTAGCGCACCACACTCCTCTCCTTAAAATCCCTGTGTGGTGGCGGCGTGCCGTTCTCCCATCCCTCCCTTGGGTTGTGTGTTTTCTTTCTTTCTTTCTTTGTGTGTGTGTGTGTGTGTGCCGTCGCAACTGGCCATGTCGGCCGGGCAGGTTGTAGGCTGGTGCTCTCGCCCCGCTGGCGGCGCGGACCGGTGCCGCGGCTCCGAGCCCTCCTGTGGGCCCGCGGCGGCTCGCCGTCGCGGTGCTGAACAATGGGATCGGTGCGGATTCATCCCGGCGTGCCGCCGGTGACGCTTCTTCGCCGAAATTTTGCTCAAGCTCTTTGTCGACAAAGTTGTGCCCGAGCTCCTGCTGCTCGACTGCGCGGCGGAACCGGCCCCTGGATGCTGAGATGTGAGGCGCCGGCACCGGGGCTACAACGCGGGGCCATCAAAAGGCTGTCTCGGGCAACCTCAAAATTGGCGCCTCTCTCTGCTGCTGCTGCTGCTGCTGCTGGTGGTGCTGCTGCTGGTGCAGATGCTGCTGCTGGTGCGGCTCGGCTCTCCGACTCGACTCGCCGCGGGCGTCGCGGGCATCTGACGCGGCGGGCGGCGTCGCGGGCGGCAGCGATAGCGGCTCGACAGTGGAGGCGGAGGGTGGTGGCTGTGGTGGACCTTTGAGCTTATTTAATGGTCGAGTACGAGGACCCTGGGGGGTCAACCGGGAGGCAGGGGGTTCGACCAGGCGACGGAGGACCGTGGGCCATCGCGGGGACCAGCCCGTCCGGAGGACGCACTGGGTAGATCCGGATGGTCTCACGCCGGTGGGAGGCACCGAGGCGTCTCGGACGCTACACTCTACCTTAAGCTCCTGAGGGGCGCGTGGTTGTAACCACGTAGTATGACTACAACCCACCACCACAGACAAACTCTTTGGGTCTGATTTTGCATCCTGCATTCTGCATCCTGCATCCTGCACCATGCAGAAGAATCCATTTTGGGGACGATTCTGCATCCTGCATCCTGCATTCTGCATGCTGCACATACAGAGTAAACATTTTGGGCTGGGTTCTGCAGTCTGCATTCTGCAACTGCATTCTGCATTTTCAGAGAAATACGGAATGTAGAATCAGCCCGTCTATGCAGAGGCAAACCCATGCAGTCTGTGTGCTGCATGCTACAAGAGTGAGTGCTCATGTGCACCGAGCCCATATACGCACCTGCATGTGTGGACGCGAGTATTAACTAAGATGAGCGCCCACGCATGAGGATGCGCGTCTGCGTCCAGGTAGCCCAGATAGATACGCGTCTTCGTGTCTGGGCGCTTATCTTGAGTAAGGCTCGCGCCTACACGTGTAGCTGCGTATCTTGAGATGAGCGCCAATACTTCACGGCGGCCCCCTCGGGGCGCTTGCGGACGACAAAGAAGGTGCGGCCTCCTCCGTCAAGCAAGTCCTCCTCTCGCGCAGGCCGGGGTCGAGACACTTGGCCACGGCTGGCTCGACGACCGTCGCCACATCTTTCCACTCGATGTTGCTGACCGCCATGTGGTTTGAACGCTTCGCTACCCGGCCGCCGCGGGCACCTCGGCGCCGGCATCATCCTCCGCGGCATCAAGGAGATCCGCCATAAAGCACCCAGCAAGCCAGGGACAGATGACACAGGCGAAATGAGCGCGTATCACCCAAAACTATTCACTTTTGAGCGCCATATGCGCAGGTGCGTATGTCAACATACGCGCCTGCACGTGTGAGCGCTCATATTGACTAATATTCGCGTCTGCATGTGTGGGAGCGTATGCTGACCGCCACGCACCCACGCCGACACCGCGAGTACGAGCTAAGATAGGCGCCACAAGCGTGGGCGCTCATCTCAAGATACGCAGCTACACGTGTAGGCGCGAGCCTTACTCAAGATAAGCGCCCAGACACGAAGACGCGTATCTGGGCTACCTGGACGCAGGCGCGCATCCTCATGCGTGGGCGCTCATCTTAGTTAATACTCGCGTCCACACATGCAGGTGCGTATATGGGCTCGGTGCACATGAGCACTTACACGTCAGGGCGCGAGCCTTAGCTAAGATACGCGCCTACACGTGTCGGTGGTCATTTTTGACCCACTTTCCGGGGTTTGCCTCCTACATGTGCATGTAAAGGCTAGTGCCATTTCACTGTGGCACAGCTCGCGTTACAAAACCTTGATTTTGACCATTGCGCGAAAAAGGTACATCTCGGTGCCTTCCAGAAGCAGCTGCGACCCCGCTGAGTGG